GCTCCAAAAGAAGAGACCCGATTCTTGTTTGTCCCCTCATTGGTGTGTTCTTTGTAAGGTTGATGGGGAGACGCTCCAAAAGAAGAGACCCGATTCTTGTTTGTCCCCTCATTGGTGTGTTCTTTGTAAGGCATGGGGAGACTGGTTTCCATCTACTGGTGTCTTGCCAATTTGTGAAATCAGTTTGGGAGTGGGCTTTCTCTCTATTTGGCTATGTGGAGAGGACTGAGGGCAGCAGTCTGCTGGTCTTTATGGGAAGAAAGAAACTCCAAAATCTTCTCTAAAGAAGAAAGAAGTGCTGAAAATCTGAGGGCTCTGATCCGTATAACGGTTGTACAATGGATGAAATCCTTAGAGCTATTCACAGACTATACAGTGGATGACATGTTGAGGAAGTGGGGTGAGATTGCTAGTTGTACCTAGACTAAAGCAGTAATGAGTCTGTCTTGGACTCCCTCACCTACGGGCTTCATAAAACTAAACTTTGATGGAAGTAGCAAAGGGAACCCTAGACAATCAGGGATTGGGGGTGTTTTTAGGGATGAGAAAGGGATTATTTCTAGGGATGAGAAAGGGATTATTTCTGCAATGTTCTCAGGCCCCATTGGAGTGGGTGACTCCCTTAGATTTGAGATCCATGCAGTCTTGGAAGGAGTCCAGAAAACTAGGGAGATGAATCTCAGAAAACTCACAATTTAAGGGGACTCGGAGGTGGTGGTAGGGTGGCTGAAGAAAGACAATAGTGGTTTATGGAGATATAGCAATATGAGAAGGAAATTCATATGGCCTCTCTCAAAAAAAAAAGGAAATTCATATGGCTGGTTCGAGAAATGGAAGTTAAAATCGGTTGGGTAAAAAGATCAGCTAATTCTTTTGCTGATGGGCTAGCTAAACAAGGGGTGGACAGTGAGTCAATGCTCATTTCTTGGGGATTAAGCTGAAGTTGGAAGATAAGAAAGTTTGTCTTCCTCTTTGTAATTCTAATTGTTGATAATTAATGATCTGTGTTATTGACCAAAAAAAAAAAAAAACTGACCCAGAGGTTAAAATGGTTTTACCTCTAGGTCATGGGTTGGCGGTTTGACTATTTTGGTCGGATGGGTCAGACCATGACATGTCATCAACCTATGTACACTTGTATATGTACATGTATAAATATATAATATATAAAATAAATAATATATAATTACATTCTACATGTAATATATATATATATATATATATATATATATGCATTATTTTGTCTAGTTAATATTTTTAGTTATGAACAAGCTAAAAATTGAGATTTGTGTAAAAAGGGTGTTTTTTTTAGCAAAATAGTGGGGAAAGGCACCTTTGGTGCCTCAAAACATGTAGATCTTGAAAAGTTACCTAAAATAAAAAAGATCACCCCAATTGAACAACCAAGTGCTAAATTATGGCCTCTAGAGGTTTTAATATGCATTTAGTGTGTAACCCATGACTTGGTGACCAGATCAAATGGGTCAATGGTTTAATTGCCTGGTTAGGTGGGGTTTTGACTAAGTAACGGTTTTGGTCAATTTTTGGGTTTTAGAAAAACCAGACTTAGAGAAGGGGCTGAGTGACAATTTGGACGGTTCATCTCTCTGAGCCAAGATGGGTTGAAAACATTGGTTGAAAGACTATAGGAAAAATAGCAAGAGGGGGTATCTCCCCACCAAAGTTGTTTCGAAAATTTGACAGTTTCCACAAGATGGATTGTCTATGATGAATTAAAAGTAATTTTCCAGGAATACTGACACCTGTACCTATGTCCTAGATTTCAAGAAGTGGGGAGATGCAATTCCTTTTCCTACATCAATGTCTCTGCCCATGCCAGAGTGTTTAAAAATGCAGGTGCATGAAATTTAGGGCTGCGAATGGTATCCATTTGTCCAAATTTGATTTTGAATTCACTCTTATAACGGTGATCTGGATTCAATTTGTTTACAATTGGATGGAATATGGAACCTCCTCAATCAAAGTTGGTTTGCATAGTTCAAGTATCATGGATCCTATTTTCGAGTCGCTTTATTTATGATATATGGTATCAAAGTCATGTTTTAGTTCATTTTATTAATAATATAGCCACATAACTACTATAGCTGTCGAATGGTTTTAAAGCCATGAAGTGTGTGCTGGTAGGTTTGTATATACTCAAGGATCAAAGAGAGTAAATTTTCAATTATCTGTGATAAAAATTAAGATATGAAGGTCATCCTGATAAAAACAATGTACTAGTCATTTGAATTATTAAGTGGATATCCGCAATAAACTTAATTGTATGCACTTTGAAAGTCCTAATCAGCTGGCAGTCATTGTTTACAGTTTGGATTCTGTACAATTTCTCCAAAGCTGCACAATGACAGCTGACCTACTTCAATATTTAGACCTCCATGCAATAAGACCAGATTCTTATCCTTTTCCTTTTGGAATTTTGTGTTTTTGGTTTTCATTCATTGTATTGTGCTTGTAAAGCGATGATGAGAGGATTCCTGCTCTGTTAACTCACTAGGGCCAGGTTGTTATGATTAATAAGTACCTACTGCTAGTTCTAAAATCCTTCTGGAAGGTTATGATGACCCATAAAAAATAATGTGTTTGAAAAGAAAAGTAAAGGTTTGAATTGCTGATGCTAGATGCCTTTACTGTGTTATCAGAGGTCTCTTTTGAAGACAGATGAATGAATGCCACAAAAAGGCATTTTACAGTTTTCTTGTCCTTCAGATGCATGTGATATAACTTCAATTTTGATACTAAAAGATAAAAATTTTCAAACAAGCCAACATTATCTCTATGGGGCATCCTTTCAGAAAAAAAAAGAAGATACGCACACGTGTTGTACTTTAGAGTGATATTGTAGATAGCATGCTTTTGGATGGTTGGTCCTGCTCCTCTGCATGTGATCTCCACGTGCAAATAACATATCAACATTGGCAATCCTAATGTGGTTCTCCTTTTGACTGATTATCTGGTTTAAGGATCTAAATGGCTTACTCTAGCTAGCCAATCTGGACCAGTGAACATGCAGGTCACATGTAATGTGGGGTATTGCCCACAATGCTTGTCTCAAATATCTAGGGTCTTGGGAGGGGTGGACTAGATATGTACTTAAGCTACAAAAAAGCCTTTTGTAAAAATGATACCATCAGCAAGAGTTCTAAAAATGATAATCAAATAAAAAAGGTAATGGTCAAGAAGATCATTGCCTTTTTGTAGTCTACCATGATACCATCAGCAAGAGTTATAAAAATAATTAAATAAAAAATATAATATTTGAGAAGTTCCCATTGACCAGGTGTAGGATCTTTTGATCATTAGATTGCTTTGATTCTATATGTGGCTATTCAATCAAACAGCCTTCGATATAAAAGGCAGAGCTCTATCTGGTACTAAATCCAGGATCAGACCCTTGCACTTTTTTGCAGGGATTATGGAGGGGTAGTTGAATGCATGTCTTTCTAAAGCATGTTTTTCCACTCTAAAAACATAAGCAGTAGGAAAGACATAAAGCTGGGATTTTACAATACATCCATTTATTTTTGATGTTTAATCACCATAAAAAAAACATTACGACTGCTATAGATTTATTTGAGCATATATCATGCTGTTTTAAGCATGTGTCATCTTGTCATCTATTACCTGTGTTTTAAAATGTTCCCTAGTTTAGAATGCTCTGGCCTCCTATTTAGTTGATAAAACAACTACTGTTTCCTTTTAAAAGATCTTTCCTGGTGTTGCAGCATTGATGTTGTCTCCTCAGCCTTTGAAGGACAATCTGCTGTGAATAGGCAGAGGATGGTTTACAAAGCAATATGGGAAGAGCTACAGAGCACTGTACATGCAGTTGACCAGATGACCACAAGAACCCCTACTGAAGCATCTGAGGATTGATATAACATATCCTAGAAGGAACAGTTAATGCAAATTTTATTTTAGCTTTCTTTGAGGAAGTTAAACTTGTTTTTCACTGAAGTTACTATTAATTTCTCCCAGTTTATTCAATTCTCTGAAGGGTTGCCACCAACACATCATATGGTCTTAAGATGTAGACTCAAAGTCATCATTGGCTTGGGTTGCTTTATGGTGATGGAATATTGTTCACCAAACCTGATCATTGATGGAACTTCCTCCACTTGAACGGGCCCTTCTACCTTTCCCAGTTGTGTTTTTATCCTTTTGTCCAGCATATCTTTATTATGAGCCTACTATCCTTTCAACATCAAGAAAACCAAACATCCAGCTGGTATTCCATCCAAATGGATACTCTACACGTCCAGGTTGACAAGTCAAATAAGCAAATGGAATTCGATTTATCTTGCAAAACTCAAATCTTGTTCCTTTGGGCCACACTAAGTATTGAGTTGTGCCTTATCAGCTTTCATGCGAACCCTATGCCATAGGTAAGTGCCACTATAGAAAAATTCATACTTTATTCTTATCTCAGCTTCAAGGTATGAAGTTCTCTCATACTGTTCTCGAGTCAGTGTCAGTTTGTCATACTTGGATCTGGCATCGAGTTTACTCATAATGACTAGTCACATCTTACAGACATACTTATTGTAGGCCCCTGTAGAGACTCTGAATTAGGAATATGATGGGAGCTTCATTCTTTTTCTGTTCATTTGTTTGGCACAGGATGATTAACCAACTTTCTTAATGATCATTGAACATGATTGCAGCTAGCACATGGGTCTTGCTACGTGAGGCTGATGATTCTTTTCTCGTCCTTTTTACCCTTGCTTATTGGAGCCATTTCACACTTGGTAAACCATTCTAGCAAAGTCAGATAAGTCAGATATGCAAATCTAGGTTGTAGCGATGGATATCTTGTTTCAAGCTTTTAACATCCACATGGTGCCACCGCCATTGGGTGGTCGACCACCATTTCCCCTCCCAGTGCTAAGACAATTGATAAGGCAAAATCCTGGATTTGCATAACTTGCGCTCTTAATCAGTTGATTTATCTTCATAAATTGAAAAGAAAGTCGAAGAAAAACTGCTTGTAGTGAATCCATCATTTGGGCCCTAACTGATCTATTCGATTTTTTCTGGCCAAGAAGATTTCATGTTTTGATAACAGTGAAGGGGAAAAGCAAATGAGAACCTTGGAATTACAAGTTGAAACAAAACAGAGTTGTGTGGTGTTCAGATCTATCTAGGAGCTTCCATAATGGGTTATATATGGATAAGATGATCTAAAAGGGTGGAGATGGAGAGGGGATCCTGATTGAGTGGTAGATTTCTAATATCTGTGTTACTTCCATGGGTCCCTAAATTACATCACTAGAACTGACTTGAACTCCTTGTTTTTAGTTTGTTTAGTACTCTCTCTTCACGTGGTTCAACAGCCTTTTCAAAATATCCCCTCAACTTTTTTCAGGTCATAATTGCACTTTTTTCTTCACAGATTATAAAGAAGGTGGGTGATAAGCCTCTTGTAATCTGAAAACTAGGGTATGGATGGGTGGTTCTTCCTCTTCATTTCTTTTGTGAGTGGGGGCACCACTGCGGCATTACCCCACATTGACTGTGTTAAGATCTCCCATGATCCGAAGGTTACATGTTTCTAATGATCCGGCAACTTTATTAATGGAATGCAAGCTTTTGGAATTGTATATTCAATTATATTGAACTTCATGGGCCGTCCGTCATTGGTTGGATATGCTAAGAGCTATGAATTGGGCCTACTTTGCGTGGACCCATTTCATGGGCAATATGCAAGGACCATATCTTGGTCTCCTACTTTTCAATGGAAGAGGGTGGAACAACATCCATTGTAAGGTGTTTTTGGATGAACAGCGGGAGTGGAACTGAACGCTGCTCCTCTCTTTCATAGTTCTATTTCATATGGTTCCTCCTAAGTGGTTCAAATCTGCCAAAGTGCAGAATTGAAGGCTTAAAATGTGCCAGTTCCTGAGTTCTGTGCTGATTATATGGAAGAGAAACCAAAAGAGTGAAAAAAAAAGATTGGAATCTGGAAGCCCGCAGAATTGACCCCTTCAGTTCTTCCCCCTATTTCTATTTCTATCCTGATCCATCACAGTGACATTAAGGGTCTAGTTTATTGTTCTGTCAGAGGATTTAGACAAAAACCAACCAAGTTCAATGTTCTTGACCCACAAGTTATCATACTTTTGGGACGCCCGAAAGTGATTATGCCGTACTTAGAAGAATTTCTAGTTAATAGTAAGTGGTTGAACGATCTGATCAAGATGGTCTTTCATCAAAGATGTCCTACCAGGGGAGGGGGTACCCAAAATGGATGGCTAAGATCAGCAACCATATATCTGTATTAATTTTCAGTTAAAGAAGCAATACCATTAGACTATCATAACTGAAAAGGTGATTCGATGGTTGATACATGTGATTGAATTCATGACCGGAAAGAAGTGACTCAACTAAAGAGATTACCCATAAATCACATGGTAAGAAATTGAAGGATTTGTAAGTCAATACTTTTTAGGTTGGATGTGGCTTAAAGAGTCCTCTTTTCTATGATTTCATTGAGACTTTTAGGTTATAAAGACCTCCTTACTACATGGCAATCTTATAATTGCGTATAACCATCAAGAAATCAGATGGTTATATGATAGAAATGAAATGAAATCAATGGAATGTAGTGGTTAGGTGGAGGAGAGATGATCCTGTCCTTTTGGAGGCAATCTTATAATTCGCCTGTCAATAAAACATGTTCTAACCCTCTACCAACATAATCCCACACCGCACATCTCATACATGGTGAGTCCCACTTCTATGGTGGTCTCGGTATCATAGTGAGATGTGTGGTGTTGGATCAAGTTGGTAGAGGGCAAGGTTCAAAGTATCGTTACATATCAGCCTATACATATCGTTCTGGGACCCTTCCGATGCGCCCCTATAGTGGGTGTATCAGGGGTCTGACCGGTTCAGGGGATGGAGGGGTCCTAGACCGGTTCCCCTGAACCAGTTTTAAAAAAAATATATAAAAAAGGTAAAAAAACGAGTATCGAAATGCCCGATACACCCCTACAGCATATTGGACGTATAGATATTTTGAACCTTGGTAGAGGGTTAAAACATATTTTGTTGGCAGAAAATCTCAACTCATATTGAGAGAGAGAGATGAAAGCCATAAACAGCATTCAGACCATAAGATGATGTCATTGCAAGTAATTTCTATCTTACAGAATGCAACTTGTAGTGTCCCCCCCGCCTCCATTTAGCCAACCCCACACATCATCTTCCTTCTTTGCAAAAGGGAAAATTATAAAAAAAAGGAGACATCTTTTGATAACGATGGATGACGGGAGGGAGTCTGCTAGAGTTGGGATCTACTGAGTACTGACCACAAAACTTTAGACACTTCCTGTGCACAAGATATCATAGTCGTACATTGCAAATATTTCCCCATGATGTGAAACATAGTACAAGAGATGTTCTTGATGTGTGGCTCTAGGGTGTTGTGTACAGCGTCTTATGATCAGCAGATCTAGACCATAGATCAAGGCTGAATGACCAAAGAATCTTCCACGTGTCAAATTGTTTTGGGTCCAAGAGGCCCTACATAGTCCTTTTATGGGACAAAAACAAATTTGAGCCCCGAAATGCCTGCCATATGAACAGAATAAACCCCTCATTTGAACAAGTTCAACCTTTAAATATTAAAAAATTGCAATGACCAATATTACTTGCGGAGAATACTAATAAAAATAGGCATATGGGGCTGATGTGGACTGGGAAATTGAATTGGTGGCCAATCTGACTAAAAAACCCTTTTAACAAGATTTTATAATTGGCTTGGTTAAGGTTCATCCTTACATGCCTTAATCTATGTGCCATGGGGATGGATGATGGTTTGTGATCATTTATATAGAATACCATCTACAACATCTATTAGGAAAGGTGATCTATTACAAGTTGAAGGGGTCAGAAGAATTAAGGGCACGCCGAAAGGAACTTGGATGGAAGTCGTAATAAATAATTTAAGCACCCTTGACAATGGATATAAAATTGAATAGAACAGTGTGGCGAAAACAAGATTTCTATAACTGACCCATATATAGTTGGGACAAGGCTTAGATGCTAGTGATGCAAATGGGTGCTGTGGCAAAATGGCGATGCTTGCCAAGTGTGAAAAAATCTTGGGTTGCCAATGCTTCTTCTAGCATTACATGTCACATTTAACAGAGGGTTAGGACCAAGGGAAGAATTTGGATTCCTGTACTTAGGCTGTATTTGGTTAAAGAACAAATTTATTTGCACCGATGCAAAACTATGGTGGTGCAAATGATTTGTATGCAAATTTTGATTTATTTTTGTTTCAAAATTTACCTTACTTTATTTGGTTGCAGTACAAATAAAATAATTAAAATAAGACCCAAAGCAGAATAAAGTAAAATCTAAAACAAAATTAAACCAAAATTTGCATTTATTTCATTTGCACTCCCATACATTTGTATTAGTGCAAATATAATTGCATTACAACCAAACACAGCATAAAACATGGAAAATAAGAGCAAATTTACTGTACATTTGGAGGAGCAAACAGGCCTCTCTACCTATGGATGGGTACTACTCAGCAAAAAATCAGCAGATATATAGATGTCGAAAACCAAGAAATCATCCGACCAATCAAGCTGAATTTTTTTGTGCAAGCACTCTTTTTAAGTAGGACTTGAGTAGGACCCATCCATAGGTGAATCCTCATCCTCTTTATGTAGAGAGAGAGAGAGAGGCCCACTTATTAGAAGATGTCCTAGCCATGTTACATTATTCCCTTTACTACAATTTTGGCACTTAAGTCTAGCTAAAGAAATTATTATTATTATTATTATTATTATTATTATTATTATTATTATTATTATTAATTCTACATTGTGTAGTGAGATCCCACCAATATCATGACCAATCATACCTTTCCACAAAGTAAGCCAAATTGGATTAGGGGAAGTGATTTGGGCGCAACACAACTTTGATAAGGGGTCACACCCTACAGCCTGAATCTTCTGACAGGCTCCAGCGTAAAGCGTGTTAATAGATTGAGAGCAAGCATTTCAGCCGCACATCAAGAACATCTCTATACTTGTATGTTGCCGTTCAAGGGAAATGTTCCCAGTGCAGTGCATGGATGGATTGCCTGTTCTCACTTCTCACACCCCTTCTCACCATAAGGCTTTGAGCCTTCAGCCTTTGAAGGCAAAATCAATG